ATAGCAGAAGCTAAGATTCAAGAGAAGATCACTTACTTTCTCCACTGTGGAATTCTGCGAGTAGCGCAAATAAAATAACAGAGAGGATCGGGAACAAAATAAAAAACGCGTTAGTATCCATTCGTTCATAGACAATGGTGATGAGAGATGACGACATAGATGGAGTCGAAATTATGAACTTTACAGACTTTCCAACACTTCTAATACTTTTTTTAACAGCACGTACTACACACGCATGTTTCGTCTTTTCTTTCTCTCTTTTCTCCGAAACTCTCAAAGTGTCATTTGTGCTATGGATGATGGTCGTGTTTTTCTTATCTGACTCTTCGAAAACCCGCAATCATCACACGCAAAATCCACTTTTTCTATCGTACAAAACTACAAAAAACAGGGAGTAACAATAATAATTATGTATTATAGTAGAGACGTAACGAGGCCACATCCACTCACACTTTGCGAAAAAAAAAAAGAAGGTACATATGTTAAAGGGTGTGGCAATGTAAAAATGGACTGTTCCGAAATCTGTGACGTTTAATTTTTAGGTTAAAAAAGAAGAAAAAGAAAAGAAAAGTTTTTATTTGTCTACTGTGCACAAAACGTTTGGGAATAACTAAAAATGTATAATCGACAGATTTCGGTACATATGCAAAAAGTAGCTGAAACTTGTCATGTAAAGGGGGGAAAGGGGCAAACGCACGAGCAGCAGCCACTATGAGAAAAATATATCCAAAGTGATTACAGTATTCTTAAACTAGAGGACGAACGATTCTTTTCTTATACTTACAAGAGCACTTGAAAAGGTTTTTTTTCTATTATTTTACAATTAGCAAATAAACCGCTATATATTTGTTTAGTATTTTTTTAAACTGGCTAATACTTTCTTAATTACTATATATATCATTTCGTTAATCGTTTTTTTCTTATCGTACCTATATGGAATTCTTCGAATTCATTAATGAATATTACATAATACAGTAAATTCTCTACAAGAGTCAGTAAGTTTGGATTCTACAAGTGACAGTAGAGAGGGTCCTACGACTAGGCTGCGTCATTGCTGCGCCTATGTTATCTCGCTCGCAATCAGTCAAGCGTGTAACGCTACACCAGTCGGTTTCCTTTACGAGATTTCACGGCTCGACAAATCATAATAGAAAAATATAATTTCTTTAATTTTACTTTTTTTCATCTGGAATTTGTTTTAACATGTTGGTGAGATTTTTCTGATGAAAATGATATCAAACACGATACAATTTGAACAACATTTACTTATTAACACGATCACTGTCGCGCCAGATTTACAGGTTGCTGTCGGCGGCCACAAGAAAATACATTTTAAGCGTAGGATTATAGTATTATGCTTTATAATTTTTTTTTTTTCAATTGAAAATAATGTCTAATCTATGACGTTCAAAATTTTTAGTTGACAACATTCATTTTATTTTAATTATTCTAAACATTTGAGACACTCCAGTCACTGATGACCACCATGGCCACATCGAGGAAACAATCTAACGTTAAAACTTATTGAGTGATTAATTTAATTTCATAATATATCGCTTTAACGAGCCACCGTTTGGTTGCCAATTGTTTATCACATAGAGTCGGCCTACCTCCACGTAAAAAAAAAAAAAAATGTAGGGTCGATTCCACAAGTGTCAGTAAAATGTAGGGTCGATAGCAGCAGAAAAGCTGCTAAACAATTAGAATGAAATGTAACGATAGAAATTATTGCAATAATGCGTAATGCAATTGAAAAATCGCAGAAAAGTCTGATACAAATGTTTGAAAAGTAAAATATATAAGATGAGATACAGTATCTTACCACGTAATGTAACTTTTTATTGTGTAACATATTAAAAACACTGTTTGGGAAAAATTTGTCACAGAATTGCATTTCTTATTTAATCTTCCTTTACTGCTACTTCTTGTGAAATTTTATATCAGAAAATTGAAGAAATTCTTCTTTGTGTTTCGTAGGCAATTGATTGCTAATTTGCTATTGACAGATCGATGTTAAAATTTGATGTTAAATGGAACTTTCATGTCTACCATAGAATCTGAATAATTTTTCAAGGTATTTTATTAAGAAACGCGCACATAGTGTTCAATTTTCTATCTTAGAATTAACTTACTTTATCTTACGAACTACTTAAAGTTCAAACTTTCAACTGTGTGTGAGAACCAGTGTCCACGGGTACGCGTAGTTCTTAGCTTGGTATCCTTTTGCAAAAGTGAGAATTTTCTTTGGAAAAGGATACCAATTACCAGGTCCCACCACGAGGAGGTGACTACGCAAGGGACCCGACAAAAACAAGGGCCCTACTGGCAGCTCTCTATCTTCAGAGATACGCGATTCTCATTCGTAGCAAAGGAAATAGATACTTTTATCAAAAAGAGTGTCTTGTATTTCACTTTAAATCGCAACTCTAATCATTTTCTCATTCCCAATGCAATATTTAAACTCTAAAAATTTCGTACTCTTCCTTAATAAGATGTTGAAAATGTAGATGGTATTTTATTAATTATGCTACGAATGAGTCGCGTATCTCTGTAAGAGAGCGCGCACATGGTATTCAGTACAATTTTTCTATCTTAGAATTAGTTGCTTTATTTGATAAATTATTTAAAGTTAAAACGCACGCGTCCCACGACGTCCATCGGCGGATGAATAGAATATTTTCTATTGTCTTATGCTAACTTATTTTATCTTACGAACTACTTAAAGTTAAGACACTCGTTCACGCTCACTTCATACTCGGTACAGTTTTCGATCTTAGAATTAATTAAAGCTAACATGCGATAAAAAGGTACATTTTTCAAACATACAATGAAGCTCTGTAAGAAAAGTATATTATTAAATTGCAATAGGAGGATAAATTGTTAGGATATCTTTATTATATATA